AGTGCGTCGTCGTCGTCGTCGTCAGCCTTTTCTGTGCCAGACGCGCAGTAAATGATGTGCGCATGTGATAAAGGGCCCGCGAAGCTCCAACAAGCTTCAACGCTCCTCATGCCGCCTGCCCCGGCCCCTGCCCCTTTCCGTTCCCAAACCCCTGCCACATGGCCCCACTACAAACCCCAACTCAGTTTTTAGTCCCCAGTTGCTGCTGTTGCTTGTTTTTGGTCGTGTTGTCGTTTGAGTGGCATAAAAAACGACTTGAGCTCCGACCGCTCCGTGGGGGCTATCAACATTCTCAGGTGCGCCTGCGCCTGCGCCTCAGTCTCAGACTCAGTCTTAGCCTGCGCCAGCGACTTGGCGGCCTTTTGTTTGCCACGGCCAAAGTCAAAGTCCACACGCCTTGCAGTTTTGTCACATAATTCTCCCTCTTCTCTCTCCTTAGCGTGAGTGTGTATAGGATACCCCCAAAATATCATGGCATATAGTGTAAGCACTCAGAGAAATGTCGACTACACCGTTTTCTCGCATTAAATATGAATCATTGACTACACAGTGAAACAAAATTGTATTCAAAAGTGAGTAGAAGTCTTGAAACTCTATTTAATTTGCAATAAATTTGGTCAAACAGCTCGAGAACACATACTATTATATATAATATATATAATATATTAGTATTATATTATACAAAGGAGTTCCAGCTACTCCTCCTGAAGATGATTCTTCACCAGCTTGACAAGACAAAACAAATCTTAATATCTTCTTAAATCACACTTTAATCAAACCTTTTAAATTTTGAGATTAAAAGAGATAAAAAGTGTAATTCTTACTTCAAACATCCATCCACATCCATCGGAAAAGAAAGCAATTTTATAAAAAGAGTTGTCTACCCTTTTCCACCCAATTCGGAGTAGAATTTTTCAACACTGAATCATAATATGCAATTTCAGTTCTAACTACAATAACTTGGAGCACATGAAAATATATAAATCAGTCACTCTATCAATAAATCATTTATTCTGTCATTTATTTAGTGAGAAATTAAAACAATTATTATGAAATCTGAAAATTTCGAAGATTTCATAAAATTCGAAACATAGCGAAATTTTATTTAAATAGTGCTCCCGTTTCTGAGCTTTTTGTAAAAGCAAGAAAGTTCCAATTCAGATTACGATTCTTCCTGTTTATATAGTAAGCAATATTAATCTATGAGACTTGAATAGATTAATATATTAATGTTTTAACACGTAAGGTTCCATAGGACTTTATTCGAATATGGGACTTTATTGGAACATTGAACATTAATCCTCCAACATAGTTATACAATGGGCTTTAATTTTCATAATTTTGATCAATTCTGTCTACCTTAGACTAACTTTCCAACCTAATAATTTCAATATCTCGTATCGGAGCCTAGTTTCTTAGCCTTTGCTACCATGACAAACAAAGAATTTGTTGCTCTTTGGCCAACCCCCAGTCACAAACAAGAGCGGGCTAGTTAAGTTGTTAGCTTCCCTCGGGATAGGCGGCGTACAGCAATTCCGACTAGACGGTAAAGTTGCAGGCATCATTAATCAGCTTGGGTTCATCAGCGGCAGCATGGTTCATTAGCTTTGGGTAGTTGCTGCTGCTGCCACTGCCACTGATTCTACCACTGCTTCTGCTGTCTGTTGTGTTCATTCTGCCACAGCAGCAGCAGCAACAGCAGCCTCCTGTCGACGTCGACGATTCTAATCATAAGGCACCGGGCATGGGGCACACAGGCTGCCGGTCGGCAAGTTAATTGGCTAGAAGTTTTGCATAGACTTTGGCGGCAAAATCAGCGAACAACGAACGTTTGCGTCTGCGGTTCTTGGCAGTGACTGTGGTTTTGGTTTTTGTTTGGCTTATTTGGTAGCTGTGACGAGTCAGAGCCGTACCCATACACATACCCCTACCCATAACCATTATCAACATCAGCTGCAACCTCAAACCCTGCTGTTGCTGTTGCTGCTGTGCCTTATGCATATTTAGAAGTTGCCAAAGTCTTTAGAGGGCCTGGCTCTGGCAGTGATCTTGTCCATGCTGCCTGCTGATTATACTGACAGCTTCTAGCTGCCACATAAGCTACTGTTACACCAAGTTGGGGCACATAGAGACGAGTTCGAGTACGTGTGCCGAAACACCGTGGGAAACCAGTGTTAACTGTCAAGCGATATGGACAGCCTAAACATGTTGGCGATGCTTGTACGACAAAGCCATTGACAAGCCTACCACAAAAACGAAATGTCAACAAAACACCAGCATTGAGGAACTACAACTAAAGAGACAAAGGTATTCTGACAAGCCCACGTGCAAATATTTGTACATGTGGCATAAAATGGCAAAAGATGTGAAAACTGGACGCAACCTACACCTACCCACATCATTTATTTCGCTGACAATACCATTTTACATATATTGTATAAAAGGCAGACATAAAGCTAAGAGAATACATAGAGCGAACCACATCCATTTAATTTAAGAAATTAAAATATAGGTAAATCGATACGATAGTGGTTAGCAATGGTTTGAGTTTCTGATCTTCGCTTTTTCCTTTCCCACTAGTCCATACCTTTTTTAGAGTCTAGGTACATATTGAATTAAATAAATTAAATTTAAAAAATAAAATGCGCAACTGCAAAAATACGCTGAATTTTCTTTGGAATGATGATGATTCGGAGACATCTGACGTTTATGCATCTAATGTGTTATTATTGAATGGGTATAGAAATATACATAGTGTCAAGAATATAATCTTTCGTCTGTACATACAGCAGCATCCAACATGTGTATAAATTCCATGTATATGTATATATCTAATCTGTCATGTACACTTCTGAAATATATGCTACTGACGTCCATACATGTAACATGTATTATTTGTCGTAAATAATCTGACGCGTATATCTTTAGTTTTAATTGCGGTCGTATATATGTATGTATGTACATTTGACATGTGTACATCTGAAGTGTATATAACTGACGTACATACATATATCTGACGTACATGTATCTGACGTTCGTATATCTGACGTGTGTTCATCTGACGTATGTACCTCTGACCTATATGGCTGAGGTGTCGAAATCAAACGCTTTTATTTAAACATCACCTGGAGCTTCGTATTAAAAATAGAATGAGACGATTGCCTATAACAACAAATATATTCTGTAGAAACTTTCTACAAGAAAATATTCGTAAATAGATTTTGATAATCTGCCTCTGAAACATTGTTTAGAAATTCTTTACTGTTAACAATGCAACGGTTGACATTTTTATGGTTAATTGCTTTCATAAAAAGTTCAAGCAAAACATTCAACTGACTATATATTTGATATCCATTTAAGCACGTTAACTCCTCTCCAGCGGTTGACAAATCATGTTGCCATGCATTAAGACCATTTAGCGTTGCCAACAAGTCTATCAAAACTTGACAACATTTGCATGTTGCATGCACCCTGACGGAGTGGCAACATAAAAGAAAACGAGCTGACTGCCTTCATATCTTGGAGTTTCTCGGCTTGGCTTGGCTTGACTAACTTACTGTGGTGGCTACTGTTTGCCCGACTGGCGGCTACTGTTCGCCTCGCCTTGACAGGATGCATAAAATTTATGAAACAACAACGCCTTTGCACACATAATTAAATCAGACAAAGCATCCAGCGAAGCGCAACTCATGTAAATGGGAACACACAAAGCAAAGCGATATAAAATTGTACACACCACTGCACAAAATAATAGACACACTTCTAAAATTAATATTTAAAGACACTTGCTTAATCAAAACAATTCCCAATAATCTCAGGCAATTACTTGTAATTTGAATCCTTGTTATATAGTATGATAACAGAAATCCATTTGTGGTTAATTTGTGATACTACTTAGAAAAAGATGGCGCTCAAAAGATGACAAGATAACCAGAAGTGGACAAGAAGATGGAAAATTGACCACAAGAGGACGAGAGATAGCCAGAATATATATGTTTAGGAGGAATTTTTATAAATTGAAGCCAACTTCATCGTCTCAGATTAAAACATTACCCAAACCAAAAACTGTCTATTGCTTTTTGTTTAAATTATAAAAAAATATTTTCAAAAATTTCCTAATTCGATAAATAAGTTTCAGCTTAAATTATAAGATTTTATGTGAAATTATAAATGCTTCTGGCGAAGTATCAAATCAGACACTTCTACTTAAGAAATACAAAAATATAGAAGACTAGGTTTCGCGAAAGGTGAAAGTTGTGTCTTTTGCTGTGGAAAGACCGATTGTTCATATAAAAATTAATACTTTAATGATGTTGTTTCTATTATTTTGGTCAGAGGTGCATCTATGCAGTTGTAGTTGTTGCTACTTGGCCGGATGCGGCACAAAATATGTTGCTTGACTATTTTTAATTACCAAGCAACAGCTGCCAGAGACTACTGCACTGGGCCACTACTTCATCTGCCCCAACGCCAGCCCCAGCCCCAGTTGCAGTGGCAGTGGCAGCCACAGCTTCCAGGTTTCAACTCTGGGGTACTGTAATTGTTATTGTTTGTCAATGCCAGACCGGGCCAAGTGGGGCGTTGGCAGCGGTTTGAATCGACAGCGGCGGCACCAGCGAATCAATTATTGCTTAGCATCAAGGCGGCTAGTCGATGCGATTAACTGCAGTGACTTTATAGAATTGTTCAACACTAACCTGTTCGAACAGCCGCCGCTTTCATTAAAGTGCAAATTATGACTTGCCAGTTCCGCCAGGTGTTGTGGCCTAGCCTATTTGTCTTTACTCGCAAGGTGGGTAGGCTGGGAAGCCAACCAACTCAGCCCCGGCAGCTTCAATGTGTGTAATCTGCGCGGCTCCCAGCGCCCTTTTACGTACATATGTACTTGTATGTATGTATGTACAGTGTATGTATAAAGTTATCAACGCCATCTTCATCCTTGCGGAGACCCAATCTCATATTATTTGCCGCTTTTACGACATTAATTACCACGCTCTGGCTTTCAACTTGTAAATGCATGTAATTCCCAGACTCCGAGACAAGAGACGAATGTTAATGGGCTGCTGTTACTTTACATGGGCACAGTGGCTAACACGCTGTTAACAGTGGATAACAGTAGATGTACAAGCTTGAAGCAAAATCAAAGTATGATTAACAATTAACAAAGTATTTAACACAATTAATCATGCAAACAAACACTTTAATGTTTTATATGTACGAGTACATCTTAAGTTTAGCATTTTAAACATTTTATGTTTATCTGCTTTGGAAGCCCCGATCTCACCTTTTAGTTTTGTACTGATTGGCTTAACATAATTATTATACTTCATTGTGGGTATGCGGAGCAATTAGCGCAATTAATTGCCTCTCTGAATGACAAGCCATAGCCCAGCGTCTCCAGCATTCTGTGCTGTATTTTGTTTTCAATACGATTATAGGCTATATGCCATAAACAACTCTCTCTGCGCTTGGATTTTATTAATCTGCGTTGAAAGAAAAAAGTGTTAATTTGTTTATATTACTGTTCAAACTGTAAAAAAACAAAATTTCGTTCAGTTTGGGTAAAATATATCAGGTTTGTTTCTGTTTACAACAATCAAAAGCGTATCTGTCTAATACTTGTAGCATATTTTTAAGTTGAAAGCTTAAGCGCCTAATGAATTTAAAATATACAAATTATTTTTACACAATTACCTCTAATCTTACAAGTACCTTATGAATTTTATATCAAAATTCAGATTGGAAAATGTAAGACTTCTAGTAGTTAGCTCTTTGAATTACTCTCCAAATATTTAAACCATAATTAAAAAACACAATCGGATTATAAGAAAAGATTTGCAGAAGTCGGTAAATGTTTTCAAAGCTTGTAAGCTAAATTTGTAATTTCGATAAAGAATGTTCGGAATAAGAGTTTTGCTCATACCTGCAAAAATACTTCATCACCTCATAGATTTGATCGAAATGGTTCATTTCGATTAACTCGCATATTTGGAACTCTATCAGCTTCACGTCCGTGGTTAAAGGCTCCTCCGTCTCTACCCAGCTCGCCAATGCATCTTTGTAATTGCTTTGGAGTAGTAAGTTATTCGATTCTGCAGATACACAATCCGGTGCTGATTTCGAGGGTGCCTCTAACTCGTTCCAGCCCCCGCAGTCCAAAACAATTTGAGGTGTGTTGTTGGCGTGTGCGTAACTCTTGCGTTGGACACGTTCCTGCTGCTTAACTAGGGCGGCCCTCGAAGTGGAGGGCAAGAAATCGCTGGCATTTAATGGACTGCAGATGGGCAGAATGGGCGGAGGCGCTCTTTTCGCACTGCTGGCGCTATTATCGCTTGATTTGCGTTTCGCATGTCCAACTTCACTTCGCAAATACTCCTCTTTGTGTGCCAACACTTCACGGCGTATATCTTCGGGTAGTTGGGCCAATATTTCCGGATCGAATTGAGAATGAAACATGCTGGTTGTCGCCTTTGTGGTGGGCGTTTCCGTTTTAGTTTCAATTTGTGACTTAGCTTCAAGAACAGTTGATTTTTTGTTCGATGCGTTTTTTAACATATCGAGAACATTAGGACGGGACTTTGCCTTCGGGTTTTCTGGAGCTGGCATTTTAGTTGAAGGCTCCGCTGGTGCTGCAGTGGACAGCAGCGTAGGTTTTTCTAAAATTAAAATCTGTAATAATTTAAAATGCTTTAACATGTTTCCTTACCTCTTTGTTTTTCTGACATTTTGACAAACATTTTCTTAATTACATTCTCTTTTTTCTCCTCGCCAGGCTCGTCCAACTTGGACAATTGAATGCCTATGCCACGTAACTCGTTTGGCGGCACCTCGCATTGCCTCATTAGGATGAGAACTTGCGATGTGATGGTGTTGACATCGTCTGTGCTCTGTTTCAACACTACAGACTTGGACTGATTGTCGCAGACGCCGTGACCCATGAACTTGGATGTTTCAACCGGCGCCTCTGCAGCACGTACCATAATTTTGAGCGTAATGTGCTTGGTCTTGCGCTTGATTTCCAACAGACGGCTGTGAACCTCGGCCGAAAGCTGACGTAGAAAAGTTTCACACTCCTCTGCCTTGGTAAAGCGAATGCCATAATTGACCTCAGCTGAGACAGATTTCCGTTGCTGCCATAGAGGTTATTATATATCTCATATTTAAAAAAGTATTAGTGGTATTTATTCCCTACCTGCTCGTAGACTAGTGGGCGCAGATCAATGCCGCGACAGTTCTGATAAATGGTTTGCGCTGATTTCTTGCCCAGCAACGTTTCCAGCTGTTCAATGGCTATCTTCTGCAAATCACCACAGGTACGCAGACCAGCCTGATTAAGCTTATAGGTCATGCCATGCCCCACACCGGGTAGCGCATCCAAAGTCGTGGCAGCCATATACTCGGCTGCATCATTAGTGGTCAGTAAATGTTGTCCATCTGGCTTGGCCACTTTGGTAGCCATACGTGCCAACAGCCTGCATATAAAGACAATTAGTCAAAAGTTACAATTCGAAAGCTATCCAACCACTTACTTGTTGCTGCCCACGCCTGCAGAGCAGGGACAGCCAGTCTTGCCGCGCACCTCCTGTCGCAAATGACCCACAAATGCCATCACGTCTAGTTGCAGCTCCTGCAGCATATCGGTTAGCTCTACAAACATCTCATCGCAGCTGACGGCCTCGATGTTAAGCGTATACTGCGCGACGGTGTCGTACAGCGCAAAGGCAACCTCACGATAGCCCTCAAAGTCATACGGAATGGTCTTCAGTTCGGGACAAAGCTTCAACGCCTGCCCCACAAACATGCCATTACGTATGCCTTTGGCGCGCGCCTCATAGCTACAGGATGCAATCTCTGATAGCGACATTTTCTCCTCAAATCCCGTGCGTACCTTGTCAGCACGTATATTGTCGTGCTGGTGCTGTTCAAAACGTTGGGCAAAGAGCTCCAATTCGACCTGACGATTTGCCTGCGGATGCACAGGCACATCTGTCGCCGAGCTGCCGCCTTTGGAATGTGTAACGGCAATGGGCAGACCACGCAGCTCTGGATGATTCCTCAATCCAACCGAAACAAAGAAGCAATCCATATCTATGTGCATAACATAACGCGCTGTGTCATTTCCCAGGCTGTCTGGTAGCAAGGACTTCAATTCAGCGCGTTTTCCAAATGGTTTGTTGCCATGCGCCTGGCGCAGCTCGCAGACATATTGTTTGAATCCTGCTCCCAGTGTTGCAATGTGATGCAAACGAGATTTTTTGTAGAACTCACTGAGAAAAGCAGGATCAACGGCTGTGCGCGCCGCATTGCCATTGACGGTGGCGTTGATACTCGTATTATCGGCAGGTTTCGACACATCGTTGCTCGTGGCAGTCAATGCAGCTTGCTGCAACTCCTTAAGGATGCTTCCTAGTTGGCCCTCCAACTGCGTAGTCGTTGCCACTTGCTCGCAAATGGTCACTGTGCTGGAATTTGCTTCCTTCTCTTTCTTACTTTTGCCAAAGTTTAGACGCGGCTGCGTGGTTTTCTGATTGGTGTATAGTAGATATGGTTTGTAGTCCAGCACGCGTTCCTTTTGTACACAATCGACCACCCACTGGGCAGCGATTATTTTGCTAGTATCCATATTGCGAACCTTCACATCCGGCAAATTGGAGGCAATTATGAACGTGGTGTGAGGGCGTTCGTAGTGATGATAAGTGCCACCGTGCACCATCATTATGCGCTTCAGCTCATCTGCAGATGGATTAGTCAGGCCGTTGACAAAGATGGAAATTCCGGCGAAGAGATTTGATTTCCGAAAAGGATCACTTGCCGCTGCAAATTGTTCTTCGAGCTTGGACTTTTTTGCTTCGAAGTAACCGCCCTGCCAAGCACATTGCAATGAATCCATAAACTGCTTAATTGTTATTGTGTTTCTTCAACTTACCCACTCTGCAAAACCGTTGTCCTCATCATGTGCCATAGCTGCTAGATATTAAAATTATTATGAAATTCCAACAGACATTTAAGCACAGGCCGCGCAAAAATTACAAAGTGCTACCCATCACTACCACAAAACAGTGCTGTAAACTGGAGGTAATGGACATCTTCCCATTATGCAGCACTAACATTTTCTGTTCTGTTTTGGCTGTGCAAATTGTTTGTTCCCAATAATGTGGAAATATGGACAGAATCAGGGCAACCAGGGTGCTGCGGGCGGTGGAGGCGGACCAAACATGATGCCCATGGGCGGTTTCGTACAAGGTGGCGGTGCTGGTATGCCGCACGGCAACATGAACATGCAACAAATGCATATGACGCCGCAGCAACAACAACAACAACAAATGAACATGATGGGACCGGGACCCGGCGGCATGCAAATGAATCCTGGTGGGCCACCTGGTCTTATGCAAGGCATGTCGCCACAACACCCGATGCAACAACAGCAGCAAATGATGCAGGGTGGAGTCGGCGTTGGTGTCCCTATGTCCCAACAAGCAGCAGCGATGCAGCAACATCTGATGGGAGGTCCTCAAGGAGTTGGCATGGGTGTGGGTGGTCCACAGCAGCAGCAGCAACAACAACAGCAGCAAGCTCAGCAACAGCATCAGCAGCAACAACAACAACAATCGAATCCTCAACAACAGAATGTACCTGGAGGTGGCGCCGCTGGTGGCGGTACCGGCAATAACATGTTGGCAATTTCTCAGCCAAATCCGCATAAGGAAATAAACATTGTGCAACTTTCGCGGTTGGGTCAAGAGACTGTGCAGGACATTGCATCGCGCTTCCAGGAGGTATTCTCTGCGTTGAAGAACATCCAGCCGACGTCACATCGTGAGAACAGTACGGAGAAAAAAGTGCAAGAATACTTTCGAACAATACGTTTACTTTTCAAGCGTGTGCGCATCATATACGAAAAGTGCAACGACGCGGGCATGGACTACATGAATGCTGAGAGCCTAATACCCTACAAGGATGAGCCGGATTTACGCATTGAGCCTTCGCATTGCGATGAATATCGGAAGGTGGTTTCGGAAAATCAGGAACTCATTGAAACAGTTAAGCTTAAGAACCGACAATTGCGCGAAATTATTGATAGAACGCGTATTATCATATGGGAGATAAATACCATGTTAGCCATGAGGCGATCGTAGAGTAGTTCTTTATCAATAAATAAATTATCGCAATTTAAAAATGTTATTCAAATCATTGCGCAGCCGTGAATATAAGATGTACGTTTGCCAACACTGCTTGTCAGTTGGGCTGATAGCCGAAGAAGAAGCAGCGTTTTGTTGTATCTGCGATTGTTTTTGTGCAAAATATAGCATAACATTATATTCTTGTAATTTTTAAACGAACAGTTTAAATACACTAACGAACAAAATGGCGAAAATGGCATTTCAACATCAGGCGGGCACAGCCATGGAGTGCTTAAGCGTAAGTTTTGAAGGCATGACCACAGCAACAGCGTCATCTGCTCATGCATGCATACACAGAAATGTACCATGCATGTGTACCTATGCATGTATATATGTACATACATACATAGATGTATGTGTGGGTGCGTGAAATTGGGTCGAATTGGCGCTTTCACGCTTGTGTCTAATTAAAAACTTCTTTTATTATTAGATACCCATAACGTTGCACAAAGAAAAGGACTACGACCAGGAGGGCAGGGAGATATTGAAATGTGGCTTTAAAATTGGTGGTGGCATCGATCAAGACTACAAGAAGAGCCCACAAGGATACACGGACTATGTGCGTTGCTGAAAAGCTTATGGGAAATTCAATAAATTATAAATTTTTGTAAATTGTAGGGCATCTATGTTACGGAAGTGCACGAAGGCAGTCCTGCAGCTCGTGCCGGTCTGCGTATACACGACAAAATACTGCAATGTAATGGGTATGACTTCACGATGGTTACGCACAAGAAGGCCGTCAGCTATATACGCAAAAATCCAATTTTAAACATGCTGGTGGCACGCAAAGGTGTCACGTCGACATAAATGCGCCAATTGGCGCCTCCTTCCTCACTAAAATGCAGCAGTATTTCCATTGACATGCATATATAAACTACGTTAGAGTTGATTACCAGCATCTGCCTCTAAGCTCCCTCTCACTGTCTCTCTATGTTAAGGATCTCTGACGCTATTTGGAAGAACATGCGAATAATTAGTTATGTAAAATTATTTGTATACCCTAAGATATGCATATCGTCCTTAAACACATATGCAACTACACATATTCATATACATTTATGTAGCATGTAGTAATGCTTCTTGTTAAATTGATTTCCATTGACTTGGTTTAAGTTTAAAGTAGTACCCTAGGTTGTTATAACATACCATACCATACATACATATATACTTTTCTTATAAGCTGCGCAACAAGAAACTAAATCTCCATATTAAGAACAAATGGCCAAAACAGAATTACCTTCAATACACACGTAAAGATACATTAATAATAGATATGACAGATTTTTATACGAACATGAACAATTTTGTACTTTTATAGATAGCGCCCGAGCGCTGAGCAGCATTCCAAAAACAAAAACAAACAAAAAGTGGTCAAAATAGTACATACTTGTGATAAATGCCGTTAAATTGTGCACATGTGTTTTTTATTTAAGTTTTTAAAATGAGTTTTTAATGTTAAATTGCGTGCGTTGTATGGAATAAATATTTGCATAGATAGCGCAAAAGAAATTCTTGCTATTATTAATTCAAGACCTTGGGCAGTCCGACCTTGACATTGAGCCCAGCTTGAACTTGAGTTGAGTCGAAGGTGAAATGCTTTTGCATTGCAGCGACTCCAACTTTATACAAATCGATATGGAGTAGCACTTATTTTTAATTATAAAACAAACTAATTTCGATTCACATTTATTTTGTTTAATTACAAAAGTACTTTGGGTTGACACACATACGCATAAATATGTATATGAAATTATTGTATAATAATTTTGCACTTACTCGTTAAAATTTTTAACATCTCTCATCTTAACTACGATGGGAGAACAAAAACAATTTGCACTTTAGAATTTAAAAGCATACATAAAACTAAACGTACGAGGAAACATTTGCTAATAGGAATTACACAATACATAATTGAAATTGGAATATACACGAAGAATTCACAATGTAGAAACAAGTCGAGGAGGAAGGGGGAACATGCACACACAAAACAGATAACGAAGAGCACAAAAATTACGATATGTGGATGGGGTAGGGTGTAGGCAAGATAACAAAATATGGGAGGAAGTTGGCGATCTACTATTTGTTGGCGTAACCATTGGGATTCTGACTCTGCCAACGCCACGTGTCCTCACACATCTTATCAATGCCTCGTGTAGCTTTCCAGCCCAGCGCCTTTGCCGCCAGCTGGGCATCGGCATAGCAGGTGGCTACATCGCCCGATCGCCGATCGACCAACTCATAGTTAACCTTCTTGCCGGAGGCCTTTTCGAAAGCCTTCACCATGTCCAGCACAGAGTAGCCGACACCCGTGCCCAGATTGTAGGCAAAGAAACCCGTCTCCGCAATATTTCTCAGCTTGTCCAGGGCTTTCACATGACCCTCAGCCAAGTCCACAATGTGTATATAATCGCGCACTCCTGTGCCATCCTTGGTGGGAAAATCGCTGCCATACACATTTAGTTTAGCGCGACGACCCACAGCCACTTGCGCAATATAAGGCATCAGATTATTGGGCTCCCCATTGGGATCCTCGCCAATGCGGCCACTAATGTGGGCGCCCACTGGATTGAAGTAACGCAATGAACAGACGGCCCAACGCTGAAAGAAAGAGTTTAGAACATAATTGAAAAATCGACACTTGACATATGTACAAATAATAAAATAATATAAATAAAAATATCATATCTAAAGAAACAAAACTATTTGTTCAGCTTATTGCTCGACAGATAAAGAACGAGTAGAATGCCTAGTACTGCGCACCCTATTGTTCTATATAATATAGTGTGCCGATTTCGATACAATTTTAAAATACAGGAACACATTAATAATGATCATACAGACAAATGAACAAACAGATAGGCCGGTGGTAAGATGGACATATCTAAATTAATTTGCGTGGTTCTAAATATGGTAAAACTTGTAAGTATACCAAATCATCATTGTTTTAAACTCAGGTAACATACATCGACAAATGTCAGATATAACAATTATCTCGATCGATTAGCTTTTAATAGCAATCCTATTTTAAAATATTAAATATATCTTTCCTTTCAATGAATTAATTTCCACTTCGATAGCGTTTTCAGTAATGGAACCCCCGTAATAAAGATTTATAAAATGTTTTTACCTTATCGGACTTGCACAGATCCTTCAGAATTTCCTCTGTAAAATATTTGGTCTTGCCGTAGGGCGATGTACAATTGCCCGTAGCGTGTTCCTCGGTAACGGGCAGGAATTTTGGCTCACCATAGACCGTGGCGCTGGAGCTATAGACGAACTTGAAAACATTGTTATCCGCCATTGCCTCGAGCAGGACATTGGTACCCGTCATATTGTTGTGGTAGTATTGGAGTGGTATGCGACAGGATTCACCGACAGCCTTGAGAGCGGCAAAGTGTGCTACCATATCGATTTTATGCTGTGGAGTGTTTAGAAAAAAGTAAACAGTGATTAATGGGACCGATTATTTCAATTGGCACATGATTTAAAGTGACATAGTCTAGTGGTTAAATCAAATCAGCCTAGTCACAAAACAATATGATCTCTAAACGCGGGCGTTGCTGCCACTGCACACGTCAGGGCCAACGCATCTCGTCTGGTTGGGGTGGGGCGGAAATATGCGGCAGTTGTGTAAACAAACGAGAACAAAAACTAAACATAAATAGCTGATAGCGACGACGACGGAAAGCCGCCAGCAAAGACGATAAGAGGCCACTTAAAGCGATTGAGAGTACAGCTGTACATTTTTATATATAATTCGTTACGCTAATGGGCTACAATTGCTGACGTCGACATGGGGAATTGGAAATTCCTTACCTCCTGAAAAACTCCACGCACTTGATCCCTGTCGGTGATGTCTACACGATAGAAGTTCACCTTCTTGCCGGTGATTTCCTGCACTCGACTGAGTGCCTCCGGCAATTTGGCGGCACCACTGCTATACGCATTGCACAGATTATCCACACAGATAACATTGTAGCCCGCATTCAGCATTTCCAGAACGGTGTGAGAGCCTATATAGCCCGCTCCGCCAGTTACCAAAACTGTGGGCGCCATTATTTACAGATTTACGGGTGAGCTTAGGTTAGTTTAGCAATTAATGATCGCTGATATCTGTTTGGGAAGAAAGTGAAAATTAGGTCAATGTAAATACAACTTCTTATTGACGTCATCAAAATTCAACAAACACCACACACACACGTATTTGCGAACTCACATGCATTCGCTATTAACGGTGCTTGCTGCCTACGTGTGTACTCACCTGTGTACACGTAAATTGCTGCCGAAACGTCTGAATCACTTTTATGTTTAATTTTTTTTAAAAATAAAACACGTTGCCCGATTTGAACTCTAGATGATGCTGCCTTGTCTACCCTTGAAGCACAGGCCGTTCGAAATCTAATTTGTTTTGTTTCCAAAATTGTTGTTGCTGCTGCTTCTGGTTAAAGATCGCTGACCGCGCTGTCGTCGTCGTAGAGCTCTTCTTCAGTGTGTTATTGTAACCCGTTTCTTGCACTTGTCGCATACCTTAGTGTTTCATTTATTTGCGCTTCCTACTATTCGCGATCCTCCTCTCGATTGCGCCGTCCGTTTTGTTACGCGGTTTGTTCACAACTGATTGCTGCTATTGTCGTGAGCGTTCGCTTTAAACTTGCTTCGCCGAGTGGCTTCTGAGTGGCCGTTGCTCTTATCAGCAACCAATTGAGATCGACTTGAACTGAAAGCTTAAATTTTATCTTTATCAGCATTCAAGTGAGACATGCACTTTTCCGAACGAGTTGTGCTACCTGCGTGATATGCGGCTGAGACTCCCGTGAATTATCATCACTCTTTTATGCAAAAATTCAGTGTATTTATGTTCATTTGCTCATTCGTAACATATTTGCTTTCGCCATTATCAATGGGAATGTAAACAGCTGCATGGGGTCACGTTATTATTGCGCGCAAGTTGGCAGCACTAACACTTATCGCAAATCGGTATCGATGAGCAGCCGATAGAAAGGCTACGCAGGCAGCACCAACTAAACCGTAGAAAATGCATTAAATTGTTGCAAAATCATTAAATATAGCTAGTTAAAATCAGTTTTGCACATAACACAAGATGGCATCCGCAACGGTAAGAAATGTATGTATGCCACACACAAAAAAGCACGCAGCGATATTCTGCGCGACGGAGACAAGAGGCAACACCTTTGATAAGCACATAAAACCCGCACATCAAGGACTTATTTACATTTCCATATCTCTACATATACTATACATATGTGTTTTGTGCAGAGCATTACTAATTCACCTGATGTGTTGCACAGGTGCCGTTATTGGACGATGATACGATACCATTCGGTGAGGAGGATGAAATGCGGGATCCCAGCATTGCCGCACAAAAATACACGTAAGTTTTTACAAAACATTTACACATACTTTGTTATACCAATGTCAATCGTTGCAGACACCCATACGTCACGTTTTTCCATTTGTTCTTTCGGGGCGCAGCAATAGTCATATATGTCTTCTGCGGCTGGTTCAGCGACTCCTTTATCACCAGCTTCGTTTTTGTGGTGCTATTTCTGTCCGCTGATTTCTGGACTGTTAAGAATATTTCAGGAAGATTGCTCGTCGGGTTGCGTTGGTGGAACTATGTAGATGATGACGGCAAGTCCCATTGGGTCTTTGAATCAAAAAATGTGAGTGTGCAGCTTTACTCTCCAATAGCATGCTAATAAAACGTAGTCCCAAACTTTCCAGAGCCGCATAAACAAACACGAACAGCGAATATTTTGGCTGGGCCTTATTCTATGCCCGCTTTTTTGGGGCCTATTCTTCCTGGTAGCGCTATTCGGCCTCAAATTTAAATGGTTGCTGCTCGTTATGATTGCCATAGCGCTGAATGCCGCGAACCTCTATGGTTACATTAAATGTAATTTTGGCGCTAACAAGGATTTAAATAGCGCTGCAACAGACTTTATGAAGACGCAGCTCTTCAAGAATGCCGTCGACATGATGACCAAGCCCAGTACGGCGCCGCCCCCACCGACTAATGTGCGACCAACGGGTGTTGTTTGATGGGAATGCGAACCAAACTTGCCAATATCCTGCAACGCATTCCAAAGAGTATTTAATGCTGGGTCTCCATTTGGCGCCATTCTGTCTGTGTATCTTTTAATTTAATTTAGTCGGCAAGAGACAATTAATTAATTACATTTTCTTACATATACGCTGCTTTTTAATAATATCAATTAAATTGCATCATAAACAAAGTAGACTTCAATTTTAATGAATTTGTTCTAAAAAAAGCGGAGAAACATAATGTATGTTTGTTATATACGTTCCAAACTGTCCGATCAAATTTTTGTCTTATTATATAGTTTAACAACACTATGTGTACGAACACTTTTGTGTATCCCAGAGTAATCGATAGTAACTGTCACAATTTTCTTCTCATCGCTACGTACGCCATTGTCAGTCGATTTTCTCAGTGCAATCATAATTTAATTTTTTCCTTGTGAAATTAATTATATTTAGGAGTTTACAAATTACCGCATAAGTGTGTGAAAACTCTTAGAACTTTTAGTGCATACCTTTGCTAAGTAAAAAGTTTGTGAACGGCTTGAATTACCGTTTAAAGTAAGTGTACGCATGATTATTGATTTTTTCGCAAGCTGCCGCTACTGCGACGCGTCGCCGTACCAGTGCCGGGTGCTGCGTTGGCCGGCACGCTACCGAGAAAATCGCAGTTGGCAAATTTTTGTAAAATTAAATTTGTACGCTTTTGCATTAGGTAACACAATATGCGCGGACGCGGGGGCTACATTCCACGTGGAGGCGGTACCACGCGAGGTGGCTTTTATCCACGTAGCTCAAGCAATTACGTTAATACCCGTACTCAGGGCAACTACCGCCCTAATGGTGGACGGTATGAAAACAACTATAATAATCGCTATAGTGGCGGGAACGCCACCGGAGGTCACTATGATAACCGAAACCATGATAAGTACAACCAACATGGTTCCAGCGGCGGACGGTACGATACTGGCCATAAGCGCCCCTATGTAAGTATAATACAACATTTAAATGTTCATAATGCTATAACAATGTTGTTGACGTTTTTGGCACAGGATTCTTCGCGGGATCGGAACGATGACCGCAAGCGTGCTCGTCAAGACGTAAGTTAATTTTTTCCTCTTGCAATGCCAACACACAAATTTTCACAGGTCTCATAAAGTATTTAAGCCATTCGTCATGTTCCGTGTAATGTTAATGAGTTTCCAAATATTTATAGCACAATTTGTAAAAGTAAACGCCGGATTTAATAGAGCGGCACTTACCATAACCAAACAGAGAGCATATTATGCATATTGCACGGAATTTGAGCATCCATAATCACCTCAATGATGAGAGTGGTGTGCTCAATGTTGTAAGATACAGCACACGTTGAAAATGCAAACGCTCCGTTTATCTGTCCATACATATATAGAGCAGCAGCAGCAACGCAAAGATTTTGCCAGCGATTATGCAAATGATAACAAATAAAAAAAGTAAAAGGCAACTTCAATATAGCAAACTGATATAAAATGTACTGTATCTCTAAATCTTATGCCTGTAATAAACAGCAGCTACTTTCTCCCTTAACAAATAATCAGACAACAGATAAATAATCTGTAAATAAATATATATGTATCTAAGGGTATAAGGTTTCCTCATCATGCCTACTACTACTACTACACACACACGCTCCAAGGACAACAAAATAAAAATATTTATATTTGCGTTTGAAAACCCTTACAAAAAACCAATCAAAAATTTATCTATAGCAATTCTTTATCATCCACAAAAATATATATCTATATATATGTATTCGAATACCAATCAATCAAACCAAACCAAAACAATGCTCCTACACTCCTTCCTACTCATGAATCGTCATAGGACTATCGTCGCACTTCTTCGTCAAACGATCGCAGCGATCGCCCATCGTCGTCTCAAAATATGGGCTCATCATCATCGAACTATCATCAACGCAGCAGCGGCGGCGGCGGCGGCGGAGGTGGTGGAGGCAGCAGTTCAAGCTCCTATAGGCCGCGCGATGACTCCGGCAGCCGCCATCAGCGAGACTCGTCCATGGGACCGCCAAAGCGTCCGTTGTTGCGCAGTGTGGCTGGCACCAGTTATATATCACGCCCTAGAGGCACCATGCGCGGCAGCATTATGCGCTCAACAATGCGTGGCGTTGGACCCATGCGTATGGTCCGCTCCAGAATCAACGAATCGAACGATTTGCGCACCATGCGCCAACAATTGATCTATGCAAAGCAAAAAGATCGTGCACGCTTACTCAAGATACAACAGCTAAAAAGGTAATTAGACAAATGACAATGACAATAACATCCAACCAGAAAAATTACGTGTCTGTATAAATATGCGGAAATTGCATCACAATATTTAAATGCTGATGATAGTTAGAGAAGTACGCCAAAGTAAGCCCAAAACAAAACCCAATGCAGAGACAGAGAGAGAGAGTGAAAGAGCAGCCATAAGCTATATGAAAATGGCAAAAATCTTTAAGAAGAGATCCTTGTAAGCCACCATTGTGAAGTATATATATATATATATGTATATTATTATTGGCATAACTGAGACAAACATTCAGAGCCTTTTTCAAAACACTTTTCCTTGCCACTCTTCGCAGTTGTGTGTCTAAAATTGTAACACTGTCTGTGTGACCAGTGAGTGCCAGAGAGTGCCACAGCCGAACCAATTAGACACGACACTATCTGCAGTCTAATACTGGTTAACGCCAGTTCGACAGCAGCAGCAACAACTACAACTACAATCATAATAGGAAAAAAAACGTATTTGTATTAGCTTGTTGTCAACTTATAATTATAAACAAAAATTTGCGTTTGCGCCCCTCCTCAAAACGTTCAATTCGAATTCTCATGTAGCTCGTTGCGACGCCAACGCCAGGGCGGAAACAGCAGCAGCAGTGACGATGATGATGCTAAGGACAATGATGATGAGGATGCTGGCGATAAAAAGAAGAAGCAAAAAAGTAAAACCGACGGCGAAGCTGACGATGATGATCACAATGACAATGAAGAGGGTGACGATAAAGAAGCTGACGCTGAGGAAACGACCAAGAAGTCGCCAATCAAAAAGCGTAGCAGCAAAGCCGCTACCGAAGACAATGGCGATGATGCTGCAAATGATGAGCAAGAAGAAGGCGATGTGGAGCAGGATGGAGGCAATGAATCAGAGAGCAAGAATACAACAGCTGCATCAGATGACGACATGAAAGATAACGCCGACGATGAGAGCGGCAATAAGGACACTGACAAGCCCAAGGAGAAAAGCAAAGATAGTGCAGCTGAGAAAACAGGTAAGAAGAAGGATAAAGATGTTGACGACAAGGAAAAGGAGAAATCCAAAAAGACTCCCGTCAAAAAGGAGCGCTCTCGCAAAGATAAGGACGACAAGGACAGCGATGATGAGCGCAAAGATAAACGGTCATCCCGTCATCGCGACGACGAACACAACAATGTGCGCAAGCGTACATTTATTAAGCTCACCTGCGTACATTGCCACATCAAGTGTGTTACTTTTAAGGTGAGTTAGCCCTGTAGTATATAAGAATTCTATATAAGTAGAATAACTGAAATGTATTAAAGCCCCTGAGAACATTTAGAGGTTTTCTACCCGGCAACCACTCGAATTCTTCCATTTGAAACAATGAGACCAATATTTGTCGAACTTTTTACAGAGTTCTGAGTCAAGCTTATTAGTTTCAAAGTGTTCCTTTCCCATCTTTTTCATATGGTGGATTTCAGTACAAATATCCCTGATTTTTACCGACTTTTTGAACTTTTGAATTACTTTTTAATGCTGCTCTGAATTTTAATCTACAGGAGTACACATATCATTTGAATTCACGCACCCACAAGAACTCGATGCGTCAGGTGGCGTTGCGTCAGCGGTCAGATTTGCAGCGCATGCGCGCACGTCAGCGCACGGCACAGCGCGAAATTGAGGATAACAGCAAGGAGGAGTACGAATCGCGTTATTGTCGCCTCTGCCGTCTGGCCTATCGTCAGCCTAAAAATCTTCATCAGGCTTCGGATCATCACAAGAGTATCAAGAAGTTCCTCATGCCTTATTGTGGATCCTGCCACTTGGCATTCAAGAATGCCATGCTCTATGAGAATCATCGCTGCTCATTGGAGCACATTAGAGTAAGTGAAGCGATTGGATGCCTATAAAATGAAGTAAACTAATAAACTATTTTGTAGAACAAAGCCCGCAATGATGAATCTGGCTCGGAAGGCAGCGCTGACGAGCGCGAAATTGACTTGAATAAATTCCTAACTGTGGATTCTGTTGGCGAAATCGATGATGATGTTATGGACGCAGATGTCGATGCGTTGTTGATTGAGGCTGAGACGGCACAAAAGAGCAGCGATGAGGAGACACGCAGGCGGGGCCTAATTGGCATTGACTTTGTGAAGTCCGTCGACACCTTCCACTGCGCCCTCTGCAATCTCTATTCGCCCAAAGAAGGCGAAGAGACATTGGACGAATTCAGCAAGAAACATTGTCTCTTGCACGCTCATGTGAAAGCCTATCTGCGTCACAAGGAAGATACCGAAAAGAAGTTAAAGTCGGAAGCTGAACATGATGATGAGGGTAATGAGGCTGACGAGGATGGTAATTTGGATGGCACTGGCGCCACCGATCCCGATGCTGATGAGGACATCGAAATGGATGAAAAAATGCCCGTGGACGATGATGAGGACGAGGAAGAAGAGTATGGCGAAGGCGAGGAGGCCGATAAGACCCACGATTCCAAATTGTGGGAGGAAGTCGATAAGGATTTGGGTGATTTATTGGCAGAAGTTGAGCCGATGGGACGTAACGAGGAAGAGGAGGAGGAGGAAGACGAATCCGTGCTGAATATTGACATTGAAAGGTGAGACAAAGTTGAAATTGCAAACTCTCACAAAAATTCACATCTATCCATTACTTGCAGCGAGAAAAATAAGCTCAAAGATGCCAAAGAGGAGACCAATGGCAATGGCACAGACGACGGCGTCCAGAAAGATGTAAAGCCACAGGTGGCGAAGCTGTCAGAGAAAAAAGCGCCCGCTACAGCAGCCAACACTGCTGCCGCCAGCCCCCTAAAGGCGTCAGCGATAAAAAAGGAGCCAGTGTCAGCAAAGAAAGCCGCGCCCAAGACACCAGTCGGTAAGGCGGTCAATCGACCCGGTCCGGCCTCAACAAAACGCAATGTCTTGGTCAATGTGAAGCGCACCTCGGCAGCAACTATCAAAGCTGCCACTAAAACAGCGGCTAACGAAAGCAAGTGAGCTGATCGCAGCAGTCAGCAGTCGTCTTATTAAATAAATAACTTTTCAATAAGATATACAAGAAACAACCCAGCCAGTGAATTTTTGGTTGCAACACAATAATAACAATAATTAAAAACATTTTTTCATAAAAAAGAAACCAAACACACATGTAAACGACGATTAATTGGAAGCAGTGTGTTTAATAAACGCATACAACACATTAATCTGACTTTATTTATTTATGTAACTCCAAATCCCCCATCCATTCCGTTCACTCCATTCACTCTTACTTGGGCAAGAGGTGTTACATTTTGGCTGCTCGTTTCCGTTTCCGCTGCTCAAAACAATATAACAGTCTTTGGGCCTGTTGCTGCTGATGTGATAGCGAAAGAAAACACACATTCATTCACTCATTTCATTTGTTTTGAAACCTTATAACCGATTAGGGTATTGAGAGCATTAGCCAATTTCCCTTCGACATAATTTCTGTGCAAATTATTTGATTGTGTGATCATAATTAGCTTAACAGACAACTATATAGTTAAATGTAATTATTAATTCCATCATTTTCTTAGTGTTCGCTCGTTTCACTTAAGATCTAAATCTCTTCATAATGCGAACTAATTCACATCCCTCTGTCATAAAATCTTCCTCTCAAACCAGTTATAGTTGTTTACAGTTGGTTAGTACACATTTAATTGCAGACATGTGTAATTCCCAAATTACGGGTTGAATTTGCCAAAATATAAAGCATTTCAATCAGGCACGCGCCAATAAAAAATCTTTACCATCTAATAAAAGCGCTTTAGTAGTCTAAAAAGGACAAGGAGACAGCCATGCTTTTATTGTTTTATAGATAAATATAACGACTTTCGTGTGAAAATGTTGTATTTAAGTACATCCCTGACCTGCACAAAAAAGGTATCTTTCTACGATCTGGCTTTCTTATTTATATTCGACTCCAGAGTTTTTAGCATAGGAGTTACTGGATGCTGATATAAATGGAAATCTAAGAGCATCAACCCGAAGTAGATGAAATTGGGAAGAATTGAATTGAATAGTAACGATGAAATTTATTTTTATTTTCTTTCTATATCTTGGAAAACGTTTCTAACATAAAATCTAAAAATATTGCTCGCCGCACGATATATTCTTTCACATACTCAATCATACTTGTATAAGAGTAAGGAACTGAACCTCTATATTTTTTATACTTTTAAAACTGAACTGAATCTCTGGATAAAAATGTATTCCCAGCTGCCACGCACTGGGTACCCAGGAGTCTCGTTTAAGACTTCCCTTTGTCAGGAACCATTGCTTAATTTTATTTATCTGTATGATGCTTTGAGTTTTTTATAAGTTAATGAAGAGGATATATAGAAAATTCTAGAATATATGGTACATATGGCAAAATTATTTCGAATTTTATGTTTTGGCACCACTTAAGACTTTTATAATAGCAAGTGTAATGCTTGATGCATTGATAATATATTATCAGTGGTCCAGAGCGCAATAGTTTTTAACATAACGTATCCAAACTCTCACCGGGAAAAAATAGTTTTCAGTAAGAAAACTGTTATTGAATTAAAATTAATCTGTGGTGAGTTTGTCCGATATTTATAAACTAACAAGTCTGCATTTATTGTACCTATCTCTACCCCTCAAACAATTTATTAAATGAACAAATGCTACGGAGAGACGAAAAAGAATCTCCAAGAGCTGTGTCAGCTTGAGTGGTTCGATGTACTGTTGCCTGGTGTTCGTATGCCGCTGCCGTAGTGTCCGGCAATAGTTCGGGACAGATTTGGATTCGGCTTGGATGATATTTGATCTCATGGAGTTCTCTTGATCTTATTCATAAACCACGGATGAGCATCGAGGCAGCGCATTTCAGCGAAGTGCTGGAATTGCTGCTTGGAATCATTTCGATCGTAATCGGTTACTGAATGGGGATTCGGACGCTTAGCCTGTTGGTCCTATTTGAACTCTTTCCTAGCCTCGGCTAGTTATGTCTACTCAACCTAAAATATATATTGGAATGTGGATCAGGGAGAAGTTGCATAGGAAATCAGTGAATAGAAACAGAGATCGTATGCGGACTCGATTTGATATCTCCAAGTAAATGCTAGCGATGCAAAAGATTCCCATAGGCCTTAATCAACAGGAATTGCTTGACTGTAACTGTTTGGCACCAAAAAAGCCAGGCATTAAACCAAATCCATGAAGTCGACAATGATGCTTGAGTTATGCCTGGCATAGAATTTGAAAAGGAACTCCCGCTAAGCAAAACACATCCTGTAAATAGGGCCTTGAAAAGCTTACATACTATATATTATATGTACATACATACAAGTATCATTATTATAGACCGAGACCAAAGCAACTGTTATTTTGTTCTTAACTTAAATAAATCTGTGCGCTGCTGGCTATAATTTGCACCACAAACTTAACAAGCAGAGAAGTTGGCGTAGGTGCCAAAAATCAGTAGAGCTTCTTGTCCTTTGTATCTCTGTCTCTTGGTCGAGGCTGAGGGCAAACAAACATGCAATAAAGCGCTAATTTAGTGCCCGCTTTTGTTGCCAACATGACTGGCAACTGACATTCCCAGAATTGACACACACCAGGCATAAGGTGTTTGCCAACTCGCACCTCATTCGAAGCATCAGCGAAAGCAAATGGTGTGAAATGGCAGCCAACAACAAGTGGCCGTCGGCTGATGCGAATCCGTGATGAGGATGGGGTCCTGTCATTAGGCCCTGGCTGAGCTTTGACTACCACTTCAGGCGAAAATGTGCAAATATTTGTTTTGATGGCAATTGGCGCTGATTTCTTTGGACAGCTACGCATCCGTCAAAAATCTTGACCAGCTGCTGTTGCCACTTCTTGAAATCGTGTGAAGCACTGTAATTATGCGCATCAATTTTGCGCTCGTTGCTGCTTCGCCCATAGCCATGCCAGTCAACTGAAAATAAAATTGATATTAATGCCTGTTTGTGTTAATAAAAATCGAATTGCTCGAACGTGGACGCTTAATTTCGTACCGAGAAAGTGTTGGAATATTATCTGCAAAACAGATGCTGGCAAACACAGGCGCCAATGGCTGTTAATAACTGCTTTCGTTATTGTAATGAACAGGAAGTTGAGGAGCAAACAAAAACAGAAAGGAGTTGGCAATTGCTAACATACTCTTATCCATACTATCAGCGAATAGTTGTGGGCAATGTTTAAAAAAAAAAAAATATTTAGCGCATATTTGCGCTAGCGGCGAGCTTTTGTCAAGTAGCAAATACAAAACACACCTAGCGGTTACGATGAAAAGCCTGCGGGCGACGCTGCCGGACTGACTTCAAAAGGTGAATGGACGAGTGGCAGAGCAATGAGCTTTTGTTCGCCCTTTATTTTGAACGCGATAAATGAACGTTACATTTTTCAAGTCCAGCTTTGCAAATTAATTAAATTGGTTGATCATGGTTCATTTTAAAAATTATTTTATTTAAACTTATTATTTATTAAAACACGAGTAAACGGCTTTAAATATTTAGGAGCGATGTATTGTCTGGCTTTGGACATTTTCCGTTATAGCCACAGACCGGATTTGAAATCTTGGTACATGGTTTAGTGCACTTTTTTCGAGCAAAACCGGCACATATGGCACTAACCACAACTACAGTGATTGATTTAAAAAGCAGTTCTGCATTAAAATACAATAATGCAAACCCATGAGGAACAGCAGGTTGAAATACATCGCTCTATAAAGTCCAACTAGAAAACTGGAAAAGGTTTCGAGTATTTTAAACAACTCTTAGCTCGCGTTAAGAATTTGCGTTAAAATCTAAATTGGACACGTATATTAATGCAGGGCTGTATAATAATAATAATAATAATAATAATAATAATAATAATTAATAATAATTACTATAAAATTAATATAAATGGTGGGGAACACTGCACTCAAAAGTATATAAGATAGTGAGCTTATTTCCGAAATTGTACCTGAATGCAATCCATTGAAACAGAGAATAAAGAATATCCTTCATAATAATGATCTATTTTATTGCAGTGCCGATTAGGTGATCAATATGTCGCAAAGTTATGGAAACACACTTAAAATTGTTTTTATTCAGATTTCAAATAATGATTTTGTGGTCATGGATTTAACGCGATTTCTGTTCCGGGCAGGATCTAACCGGACCTTTGTGGTTGGCGTTAAGTGGCTGCAAGACAGCGAGCCTGCGCAGGATTAATTGTTTCTTGACTCTACCTATTTGGAGAAGATAGAAGATTTTATTTATTTTTTTGTGACGACAAATTGGTCGATATTCGTCCGTCTGTATGAACGCCTAGGTTTCGGAAACGACTAAGCCAGTATGTGTAGGATTTGGTCTGTGGACTTTCCTAGTTCCTAGGCACACGCCTAATTAATATTCAATTTTCTCAAGTACCGGGTTCGCTCTGCTCTTCTTCTTCTTCTTCCAGATTTCTCAACACCAACAATATCTCTAATTTCAATTGATTTTAATGCCAAAGAACATTTTGAATGTAGCTACTATCAAACGTGCTCTTTCTCGAGCTTAGACCTTTTAAAATCTTTTGGGATCATACAGACAAACGGACGGACAGACGTACAAACTTTTCACTAACATGGCTACTTTATGAATTCTTTCCATCTTCTACGATATAACAATTGTAGAATACCTTTGAGATACAGAACTATACACCTTTTCAAAGAGGCTCTCCTCTTCTATCTAGTAGCACTTTTCTTAGACTGTACTTCAGTTATCAAGTGATTTTAGCACCTGATGAACACGATAAAAAGGATGTGCGTGCGTAGCTTTTGAATGTATGCATGAGTGGTCCACTTGGCACTGCCACAGGAAGTTGTCAAGGTGTTGAATTGTCGGGATAATGAATGTGCTGCCACATCTTGAGGCACGCACACTGCCACTGCCCCTGCTTCTGCCGTCGATTTTCGAAAAGAGCGAGCTAGCTAACAGTCCGTGCTTGCGCATGCCTGGCTGTTTTTATGATCCTCTGCAGCCTGATCCTCAACACTCGCTATTGTCTGGCAAGTCGCACCACCATTATGACATAATGAGAGCGTTGCGTAAGGTCAAACGCATGCCGTAGACCCAAACGCTGGTCCAGAGCATAGATTGAGACCAAAACAGCGCTACGCAATGTTATGCAATAGTAGTTGAGAGCGGCAGCATAAATGGCGGCAACG